ACTCTCTCTCTCTCTCTCTCTCTCCTCCCTCCCTCCCTCCCTCCTCTCTCTCTCTCTCTCTCTCTCTCTCTCTCTTTCTTTATGTCATTGTCTCAATTGTTTTTCACAACCGCTGTCCATGTTTTTCATTATCTTTTTTTAACGGAAATACTTTGAATTACAAATAAAACAAGAATAATAAAAACTAATAAATATATTAAATATAACATTAATAATAATTTTAAATTTCATAAAGATTTACATTGCAATAATGAGTTTATATAAGAAGTAGTTTGCAGCTAGAGGCGACATTTAACATTTGCAACTCGAAAGATATTGCTGTGATATAGCAAATATCAAAGTATTATGTGTACTTTATGTATTAATTTTACTTTTACGTATCACACTGATAACTTTGTTATGTGATACTGTAGTAACTTAGTATAATACAGCAAATATCATTAACAAAGTTGTCAGTGTGATACGTAAAAATAAAATTAATACATAAAGTATACTTTTACAGATTATCTAAGAATATAATTGAAATCATGAATAAGAAGGGAACATATAAACCATGTGCGGGTATCGACTCGGGAGATGAAATCGTAATTTCTGGCATTGCTGGTAGATTTCCAGATTCAGACAACATGAATCAGTTACGAGAAAATCTATTCAATAAAGTTGATCTCGTTAAAGCGGATCATGGTCGTTGGAAAGCAGGTGACTAATTCATATATCAATTATATCTAATTCGTAGATAAAGTAGATAGAATAATTATACAGAGATAATTATTTCAAAAGCTATCTAAATCATAGAATTTGAAATAACTTATGTAAAATTAAATTTTTCATTAGAACATCCGGGCATACCAAAGCGTATGGGAACAATCAACAATCTGCAAAAATTTGATGCAGATTTCTTTAGATTCTCTTTCGAGCAAGCATACGCATGTGATCCAATGATAAGAATATTATTGGAGCATTCTTATGAAGCTATTATCGATGCGGGAATTAACCCAAAACAGTTACGAGGAAAAAATACTGCAGTCATCGTAGCGATATCTTTTGTTGAAACACAAGAGAAACTTCTAAGTACGGATCTACAGGTAAAAAAATTATTGATAAATAAATATGTAATAATAATTAATGTATTCTTCAGAAATATAAAAATTTCTAACCATAGATATTTTATAATTATAGATAAACGGTACAAATTTCGTTGGATGCTTAAGGTCTACAACAGCAAACATGATTTCGTATTTTCTGGATCTGAAAGGACCATCCTATACAGTCGATACCGCATGCAGCTCTAGTTTATATGCTTTTGCTCTTG